GCAGTATCTGTGCACATTTTGGCAGGAATGGTTCCTGGTTTGCAGTTTTATTCTCCTTTTAATGACAGCTTTTGTCGTTAAAGATCTTGCATCAGAGATGACAATAGGACAGTTCAAGTAAGTTTTATCAGTCTTTGTTTTGCAAACACAGTCTTCTATGTGATAAGTTTAATATTGCTAAAAATATTAGGGAAGTTATCTAATAATAAGGATAAATGCAGTAAGACTTGCTATAGATTCAGGTGATCAAAAATAGTTACTGTATTAATGAAACAATACAAGGAAAAATAGCAGCAGAGCTAGTACTAATACTGACATTACAGGTTTTGTATTTATGTAGCTCAGATACATACTGCAGTGATACTAACATTTGTATTTCTTGCACAGGAAAGTTCAGCTGAAATTAATTGCGTTGCCTGTAGTGAACCTGGAGTGTTCTTGAAAAGAATTTCAATGCATGAGAACCAACGTGAGTCGCCTTTTGAAGGAGCATTACAATGACAGTGGGAGAGCTGTTGCATGACCCTTTGGTCTGTGCACCTGTGTGGCAGCACTGTGCATACCGTGGAACTTGGAGTCAGTAATTTTTCCTTTTTCAGTGAGCACTTCAAATCACTCCAAAATAATTTGGAATGTCGGTTAACAAGAAAATCCTGTTACCAAAAGAATCCCAGTCAATGCTATTAAGTAAAACGTTAAAACCAGGGGAAACATTAAAACGAGGGAGGTTCTTAAATGCCACCTTGTATGGCATGCGTTGCCTGTAGCATAACAAAAGAAAGGTCAAACTGTTGCAGAACCTCAAGCCTTATAATCTCTTTCCTCATCAATACTATAACTAAATTGAGTTTTGGGAACTGTGTGATACTAGGGACCCTGGGAAACTTAGTCATTTGTATTTGTGGCCTTTGCTGTGTATTTAATCTGTTAGATGTTGCAATGAGGTACATTTCCATCCTACTCTTATTTCAGTAATATTTTTCATGTTTTTCTTTTCTCACATCCTTTTCAGGAGGAAAGAAGAAAGGAAAGTCCTCTCAAAAGAGCTGTAATCTCCAAAAAAGTTAAATTCCTGAAATCATAGAGAACCTAGTTGCAGCAAGTAGCATGCTAGGGCTATGTCTGTTCTAATAAATTAACCCTGCATGGGAACATTGCTACTGGTGACTAGCTGGAATAGCCCTTGTTTACGTTTGTATGTGTGTGAGCTACCTATTGGAAACGGCTCCTAGAAGGCTCTACCTTCCAAAAATTGGCTTGGGCCAAAACCAGCTTAACAGCTTAAGCAGTACTATTCCAGTGTCTGGGAGCTTCCTATGCATTGTTTAATTTACTAGCCCAGATCTATAGTGTTATTATTTAAAGTTATTTTTAAATGACATGTTTGATGTACCTACTTGCTCATTAGCAGTAATTAATTTCTGGCCACTGCAAACTTTCATTTACTCACTGTGCTGTTTTTCTGCTGCATTGCAGCTCTCTTAAAAGGCAGCTGCTTGTTGCTAAAGGCTTGTTGCTAGAAGCTTATTATGGTGACTTAGACTGCAATATGAATTTATGAAGTTGAACTGTTGGACTCTCTCACTGGGTAGACACTGGCATATAACAGAATAGCAGAATAGTCTTCGACCCTGGCATTAGGCCAAAGCTTTGGCATCCTCACTGAGGGAATGCAGAATTCACTAGTGCAGTGTAAATTCACATTCTGGTCTATGGCTCTGCAAGGCTGTGTAAATTAATCTCTGAAACCCCATGTTGTGACAAGGCTGCCACTAGTACCCACAGAAATACTATAGCCTGAACAAAGCATGCAGTTCAATTTTCAGGATATGATCCATTTCATAAGAGAGGAAATAAGGGAGTTTGAGGGAAAACTATTTTATAGAATGTAAAAAATAAGATAATGCATTGATAAATTTATGTTCATTAAAATCAGCAGCTGTGTGGCTAAAAGGTTAACTCCTCAGTTGGTGTGAGCTGACAGACCCTCTTTCCTCTAGTTCTAGCCCTTGATGATGATGGTAATAATAATCAGGATTCAGTTACGGCTGAAAACCTAGATTTTATTGGATGATACTGTCATTATTCCACTACTTCTTCCCCTGATTGAATAGCACTTACTAACTGGTGTCGGGTTCTCTCAGCATCAAGAGACTGCTGTGGAGCTTGGGAGAAGGAGCCAGGAGACACACCTGAAGGGCTGCCCTTTGATAACATGGTAGGGGAAGGAAGACCAGAGAGGTGAGGGGATCCTCTGATTTGGCTGTACCAAAGTATTCCTGCATAAGCAAATGACTTTTATTTCTGAGACTGAGCTCCTGGTCTATAGGACAAAACTAGTAATAGGTCCCTACCTCATATTTATCTGTGAAGATAAATACATATAAGAATGTGGAGTAAGTCCCACAGTAATGAAGTTATCCCATAAGCTGTAAATTTGCAGGAAATCATGGATTCTGTTTGTCTGTAAAACTTCTCAAGACAGTATTATTTTTTTGCAGTAACAGTAGAGAAGAATATTATGTCAGCTTTCAATTTCAGATACTGATTGCCATTCTCTACGAATAAAAGCGGTTTCTTGCCAGGGTCTGCACTTCATGAAAGCCAAAGAGATTTTCTGTTGACTTCAGGGCAAATGCAAAGGAATATTTGAAAATTCACTTTGCATCTGCTTGGTAGATGTAGATCTCTTATTTCCTTGTGCTTACTCCGAGTTTAAGAATGAGGCTGGTTATAAGGATTATATCTGCAGCAGTGTTACATGGGGTGGGAGAGTTGTCCTATACCTGCTTCCTATGTTTGTTTGTTTGTTTGTTTGTTTGTTTTTTAATGTGCATATTCAGTTTTCCTTCCATTAAGTAGAAGTTCATTAAATGCTTTTCTAAATTCTAGCTCAAAAGTACACTGGGCAAAAAACCTGTGTTGGTTGAATGCAGAGGAAGCAAAAATGACAAACATATTCTGCCAGGAAAAATTCATATGAACCATGAGTACAGTATTTTTTTAACTGATGTTTGCAAGCTTCTATGTGAATGATTCTGCCTTTGGAAATGTTTTCAGAGTGGTTGTATTTTACCTGAACATTTACAGAATTTGTGTACTAGAAATAATATTTACAATTTGGTATTTGGTATTCATATTTTGTAATTGCACTGTTTAAATGTTTGTGATTGCTGAAGTAATAAAAAGAATTTCCTCTAGCATGGGTGACCAGGCCCACAAGAGTGGATACTGACTATACTTTAGCACTTAAACTACCTGTGAACTTGGAATTATTTGTTTAAATGAAGTCTGTGCAACATATGGTCTGATACATGCACTCACAAAGTGGTTGGTTTGGCTCACTGCTCTGCAGTTTAACTTCAGGCTGATCAGCAGAGGGACTGGTAGGCACTACATACCAATGGGGTAGATAGCAGTAGCAGTTTGCTGGGAGACAGTGGGGAAAAGCAGGCTTAGACAGTAAGGCAACAGAAAACTGAAAAGAACTATGTTCTGTGGCTCTGATTTGTAAAGGGGATGTGTGTTGTAGAAGACTGAGGGGATTGGCACGAGATGGGAGTGAAGTGTTTATTAACATGGAAAGGGAAAAGTGTATGGAAATAAACCCTGATCTACAGAAGCTGGTGGCATAAGTCAGACCAGTAGTACATGCTATGGTACAGTTTGATGGTACATATATATTAATTTGAATGGTAAGTCCATTTTTTAATTTAGTCTATTCACACTTTTTTCCAGTATAGGAACAATGAGAAGGAATTACCTTAATATACAGGAAGTTTTAGATCTGACAGAAAAATCTTCTTGAGTCTCAGAAAAGCAAACTACCGAGCTGTTGTTGGAATATTGCATGGGGGAAATTACTTTTAAAAAATGATAACACAAAATACCCCTATTCCTGGAAGGAATGCCATCCAGAGGGACCTTGACACGCTTGTGAGGGGGGCTGGTGCCAACCTTATGGAGCTTAACCATGGCAAGTGCAAGGTCCTACACCCGGGCCGGAGAAATCCCAGGCACAGCTACAGGTTGGGCAGAGAAGAGATTCAGAGCAGCCCTGCAGAGAAGGACTAAGGGGCGCTGGTCGATAAGAAACTTAACAAGAGCTGGCAGTGTGCACTCGCAGCCCAGAAAGCCAACCGTATCCTGGGCTGCATCAAAAGGGCTGAGGAGGGCAGCCGGGCCGCAAGGAGCGTGACCAGCAGGTCGAAGGAGGTGATCCTGCCCCTCTCCTCTGCTCTTGTGAGACCTCATCTGGAGTATTGTATGCAGTTCTGATGTCCTCAACATAAAAAGGAACATCTCCAGGGAAGGCACATTCCTCAGTGGATCAGGGACTCACGGCAGACAGTGGCATACAGTGGAGTTTTCTCGAGGAGGGGAAACCCAGGCGAGCACTGAGACCTGCTGGGAACCGGGTGGGACCACCCTAAGCTCCTGCAAAAGGCAGCGCTGGGAACACAGAGAACAGGGCATAGAAGGGTGTGCGGGGAGGACAGGCACCTCTTGGAAGGAGAGACATTCCAAGGCCGCCTGCACAGGTCCGAGCACACATGCCACGTAACCCTGAAGGAAGAAAGGCGGGCACTTATCAGAGAGCAAATGCTGCAGCTCCAGCAGGGGTGACCTACACCATCTATGTTGGTGGTGGCCAATGCCTTCGCTCAGATGGAGTGGCTGAAGGGCGTGCCTGCAGTGGAGGGGGTTGTGAGGCACTGGAACAGGATGCTCAGAGAAACTGTGGAGGTGTGGCCCTGACTTTTGTGCACTCTGGCGGCGGTGCTCCCAAAGACCGTGGCCGGGCCGACGAGGGCGGCCGGGGCGCAAAGGCTGCCCGGCAGCTCCTGACTGGCCTTTCCGCGCCGCGTGTGAAGAACACCGTGGCCTTGGAATTGTGGTTAGAACTTTAATCCGAAAGACCCATTTTCTTAAGCAGGGCTTAACTGCTGCCTGGCTTTTCAGAGGCAGCAGCACAGCGCCTGCAGGATCCATCTCCGTCTTGGCCGCGCGTGTAAACAGGTGAGGATGTGTATTGTCTGAGATGCCAGGGAGGAGACTTGGGATTCCTCGTCGCTTCTCAGAGCATGGAGGGCTGCAAGAGAAGGAAAGAGAGCAGAGCTGAAACCCACCAATCTGCAGAGACCAGCAGGCATCCCTTCCAGACCATGCCAGCCCCAGCCATCCCTTTCCCTGGTCAGGAGGCGCAGGCGGGGCAAACGGATCACCTGGAAGCTGCTGCTCAGGAATGCAACAAATGCCCCCGAGATGTTCCCTGGAGCAGGACAGGGCATGGCAGCACGCTGCCCAGGCTCTGTCCCCTGCCCCACCAGCCCCAGCACACACAGCACTGTCCCTGCTTACCTTCGCAAACCTCCAGGAGCTTGTCCGCGCGGCTCTCCTTCAGGCACCGAGCGGCCATCCCTGTGCAGAGAGCTCCATCAGACCTGCTGCTGCCCAGCACGCTCCCGGCAGCACGGCCCCGCCTCTGCCGGTTTGGCTGCACCCCTTCCTCCCCTCAGCAGGGTGACCCCAGGGAAGGACAGGACGCAGGGGGAGGTGGCACTGAGCAAGGTGCCCCTGAGCCCCGCTGCGAGGGCAGGGGTTGGAGAGGGAAGCACAAGAGCCCCTGGCTGCACAGGCCTTGCACGGGGCAGTCGATGCTCTGGCAGCCACAGGGCTGCTCCTCGCTGCCAGTGCAGCAGATGGGACTGGGGCCAGGCTGCCAAAAGAGGGACTCCAGGGGCCGCGGCTTACCAATGAACCTCACAGCTGCCAGTCGCACGCTGACCTGAGCGTGCTGCAGGTAAAGCAGGCTCTGACGCACATATTCTTCTGCTCTGCTCTGCTCCTGCTCCAACTGGAAAGAGCACAAAGGCCCAGGGCTGACACAGACCTTCCCCAGTCGCCTGGGCCGTTCCCTCCTACCAGCACCCCACACCTCCCCTTGTTCCTCAGGCCATGTGTGTCTCCCAGCCAGGAGCCCTGTGGGGCTGAGGTTCAGAGACAGCTGCAGGCAGAGCAGGGTCTGGAGCTCCTGAGAGCCCCCTGTGCCACTGCCAGGGCCCAGATGTGCCTCCTGCAACATCCTGAGGGTGGGGAGGTGAGAGGAGCACCCCGTGTCCAGCCTGGGACTTGTCCTCACCAAGCGCTGCACAGTTTGCCATCTCTCCAGTGTCTGCACGTGGTGACTGAGCCATTCCCATTTGAGCACCTTCGCAGCTGCACAGATGGCTTCCTGAGAGGCCTGCAGAGGGGGACAAGGATTGGGGAGATTGTGGACAGGGCCTGAGACCCAAAGGCCTGGCCCTCAGCACTTGCAGGGACAGCTGGGAAGCCCCTGCGGACTCCGCTCTTCAGGCCTTGGTGGTCACGGACTGCTGCTGAGCCCTGCTGGACCACGTAGGGCAGGTGTGGGAAATGTCTGTGTCAGCTGCTCCTGCCCTCACTGATGCCCAGGCCACCCCTGCGGGCTCAGCACACCCTGCTCCGCACCACGGCTTAGGTTTGGAATCCGTACCTTGGCCACGCTCTCGATCTCGTCACTCATGTGCAACATGAGTGGGACCAGGCTCCTCCGCACCTTCTTCTGCATCTGCCGCTTGTCCTTCCAATCCGCCATCTGTATTGCATCTTTGAAGAGGCAGATGGAGAGCTCTTGCGTCTGGCTGCACTCCTGGTAGGGAGGAGGACAGGAGGGCTTCAGTAACAGCTGCTCCCTGAGCCAGGGCGTCAGCGTGGCTGAGGGGAGGGGCCTCAGGTCTCCCAGAGCCATCAGCCTGTCGGGGAGAAGCTGGGCTGGGCTGCAGAGACCAGAAGCCATCCCCACGAGAGCGCGGGGGCAGAAGGAGAGGCTTAGCCCTGGGCAAGCGCTGCCGCCAGGCTGTGCTGCCGGGCAGTTGCTCTTGCAAAGGGCCCGTGAGTGGGACTCAGGTTTCCACAGCAGCCTTACATCATCAAAGAGTTGAAGGAGCTTCTCGGCCAGCTCCAGAGCGATGGAGCTGGCCTTCTTCTTCAAGTGACCTATTACGTTTCTGAACGTGAGCAGGGCCTTCATCTTGTTGTCGCTGTGGGCATTCTGCAGGGTCTTCATCAAGTCTGGCAGCATGACCAGTATTTTCCTTGCCTGTAAGAAGCACAGAATTTCTTTCTTGTAAAGTGGTGAAAGACCACCCAGGCCAAAATGCTCTGGCCATTAAGCACCAGCCTCCTGTCCGGCTGCATGGGCGGTGGCACAGGAATTCCTGCAGCAGCCTCCTGGCAGGCCTTGCCTGTGGGCGCACTGAGGGGATGGGGGCACGTGAGGGGACTTTGAGGGCATTTAGAGCCGTCACCCCAGGTCCCGACTCCCAGCCCAGGTCAAGCCACCGCGTTCCCCACTACCCAGCACCAGGTGGCCAGCACGGCTTCACTTGACTATGCCCTGCTCACCGAGTCAGGTGACTGTGACAGTGTGACGAGGCCTTGGAGCACCAGGGAGAGCAGCCTTGGAGGCATCAGCACCTTCCGGATTTCGTACACCCCAGCAAACATTTTTGGTGTCACATGGCTGGAGGCGAGCAGCTGAAACAAAGATGGCAGTGAGAGATGGACCAAGCCTGCAGGGCTCCCTGCACAGTACGGCCCCTGGGTCCCACTGGCAGCTCAGGGCAAGGGCACAGGGGACGGAGAGCCCATCCTGGGGGACACTCAGCGCTTGTGGGACACACCACACGCTTGTCTGTGCTGGCTCCGCCTGTGCAAGCAGAGCACTACCTGGGCAGACAGGGGCTTTGCGCACCCGCACCCAGTCAGCGTGGCCCTGCGTGGCTGGGGCAGGGGAACCTGGTGCTGGGCTGGCCCTAAGGGGCTGTGTCCTCCTCTGGGACCGTATGGGGCAAATGGCAGGGGTGAGGGCCATGCCCATTTTCCTGGAGAGGCAGGCACGGCCCTGAGCACGAGCAAGGAGTGGGCTGGTTACTCACAGCCAAGAGCTGGATGCAGGCCTCCGCTTTGTAGGAGCTGAATCTCCATTGCACACTCAGGTAGTGGAACCTGATGCTCAGCTCCCTCAGGACGTTCTCCAAGACGAGGCGCTGGGACAGCAGCACTTCCCACATGGACATAGCAACACTGCAGACGCAGAGCACTCTGTCGGCAGGGCCACCTCAGCCACCACACGGTGCCTGGGCCAGTCCTGCAGCAGCCAGGCTGTCCTGCAGCAGCCAGGCTGTCCTGCAGCCCTGGCCCTTCCCGACCCCTTGCTTGGAGTGCCTGGGCAGGCAGGAGGGGGCTGAGATAGTGTTCCCCATGGGGTAGGGAGGAACCTCGTGCCGGGACTCGGATCTAACTTGGCCAGCTTTGGCTACTGCAGGCCTGGCCGACCCAGCAGGGGTGGAGAGAGTGGGGGGGTGCAGGGCCCTGCTCCTCAGGGGTGCCCTGTAGTTTTCTGTGAGCCTCCAGGACCCTCTCCCTGCATGGAACAAACCCACAAGGGCTGTGGGGGTCAGTACCTGTCCCATGCTGGAGAGAGACGCACGAGTCGCCCGATCACATCCCCTGGCCGCTGCTCTGCCATCATTAGAAGCAGCATGTCCAGGGTGTGCCAGACTGACGGTGTGTTGACGTGCTCCAGGTTGTTATAGATGCAGCTAACGATGATTGGCACCTGGAGGGCACACGAGTGAGGGTGGTGCTGCCACCAGACTGCAGCTGCCACTGAAATGGCCGCCCCTCCCATCCTACTCTGCTGGTGTGAAATGGCTTCAAGGTGCCTGAGGCACCTGGGTGAGGGAAGGCCCATGTAGGGAGGAACAGTGCCTGAAAGGGCTCAAGGGCAGGGCAGCCACAGGCTGCTTACCTCCGTCAGCCAGGAGGCAGGTTCTGTCATGGCCACATCCACAATGCTGATCAGTTCCTCCTTGTCGCATGTGCATGAGTCTCTCATGGCCTCGATGGCCTTGACAAGGATGACCGTCTTATCAGGGGGTCGGAGGTCTTCCCCAAATGCCTGCGGGAGGAAGGAAGGCAGGGAAGGCGTCTTCACACCGAGTGCCCTGATAGTGCTGCTCAGCTGAGCAGCGAGAGCAGCTCTGGCGAGAGTACCCACAGGAAAGCTGGCAGCAGGGGCTGCAGTCGCTGCAGGGTGGAGGATGAGAAGAGAGGGGCCCAGGGTGAGGGAGGAGGGCTGGGGCCGTGGGCACGGTGTGCTGACCCTACAGAGAAGCAGGGCTTCCTGGTGGCCAGGAGAGCTGGAGCTGCTGCTGGGACACCGGGGTGCAGCCCTCTGGAGTCCCTGCTCCAGAGCAGCAGCAGCCCTCTCACCAGGGACAGTGAGACCATGCCAAGCCTGCTCGTTCTGGACCCCTTTGCTCACACCAGTCTCCTGCTGATGCCCTGGACAAGGCCCAGCAAGGGAGAAGCTCATTACCTTTACAATGCTCCTGGCGCTGCACACGGAAAGCCAGGAGGGTTTCCCAGCTTTCCTTTCGCCTCCACACTGGGGATGCTTTAGATCATCCTCTGGTGATGTCACACCTAAACAAGAGGGGATCACAGGAGGGTCATTAGGACACAGTATTGCTTACCATCAATGACGGCTTTGGCTATGGGGACCACGGAACAGCTGGGTTCTGAGAGGTCCTGAGAAGAGTGGGAAGCAGAGCAGCACAGTACTGGACTTGTGGTGAGCATTCAGCTTCTGCAGCAAACCAGTAGCTGGGATGCTATTGGGAAAAGCTGGGAAAGCAGCTGTGAGGGGCAAAGGAGGTGAGGGAAGAGGGCAATCTCTCCTGGACAGCCTCCAGCAAGTACAAAAAGAATCCACTGCAATGCTCAGGGAAACAAGCAGGACTACGAGGAGATGTCTGTGTGTGGAGGGATGCAGCCCAACACAGCTTCTCTTACATTTTTGCTGCTGGATGCATCTGCAGAGGTAATGAAGAGTATCCAAAGCCTCATACTGGATCTCACAGATCTTGCTAGTCCAGCAAACAATGAGATGTCCCAGCAGCTGTCCCAGGAGGCGGTCATGGATAGCGTCGCCGTGGGAAGAGCTGTTGTCATCTGTAAGCAAGCTCCAGACCTGGGCAAGGGAGGCAGGATGGGTAGAAGGGCTGAGAGGCAGCAGCTGCGACAAAAGCCCTGAACCCGAGAGTCTGCCCCGGGGAAGGATCCTGGCACGTCAGAGCTCTGCAGGGCCCTCCCAGAGCAGCGAGCTGGGCAGCAGGGCAGGGAGAGCTGCCAGGCCTGGCCTCCCGCCATGCTCCTTGGGCAGTGCTGTCCTTCACAGGACTGGCTTCTGGAAGAAAGGGTGCTGGGGAGGAAAGACTGGGGGAAAAAGAAAGAAGCCGAGACCCTCGCCCAGGGCAGAGCCGTGCTGAATGCCTCAGGCATCTCGAGCTGCAGGCTGCTGCCCACGGTGGGCAGGGAATGGGAGACAGCCTGGCTGGAGGGTGCCTGCCTCCTTACCTGCACCGAGGAAGAGCTGTCCATCAAATCGACCAGCTTCCCAATCCTGACCACAGCCCTTTCACATGCAGCTGCATTCTTAGTGTCGGTGAAAGGCAGCAGCATCTGGAAGGAGAGAAAGTGCTGCTGTGCCCTGGGAACTGGTGCCTTTGCCAGCAGCAGCAGCAGCACTTCTCAAGTCCCGACTGGACCCATGCAGTTTTTGTGGCCCTGAAGGGAGGCAGATGCCACCCCAGGGTAGAGTCTGCTTCTTTCTGCGCCCTCCCCGAAAGCACAGGCCTGTGTCCCCTCTCCATGAAGGCTGGGCTTTTGGGCAGCACCCTGCCAGGGGGCGGTGGGTCTGCGATGGGGGAATGGGCATACTGCTCTCTGGGAAGCCAGGAGTGCGGAGCGTCAGGGCTGGGCTCCCTGTGCAGGACAGGCAGGTTCCAGTGGGTCTCTGCCCCAGTCAGACCTGGGCAGAAAAGCAGGAGGGACTGCGAGGCAGGGGAAGAAGGACAGCACCCGCAGCCACTGCTGCGGTGCCTGAGGAGAGGGGTCAATGCTCCCCACTCCTTTGGTGCGAGGAAAGCTCTGGGGATGGAGCTGGCCCAAAAGTGCCATGGGCCAGGTTTTGCCATGGCACAGAAGGAGGCCGCAGGGGAGAAATGACGTTGACTGCAGCCAGGGGACACGCTGCTCCTGGAAGAGCACGGTGGGCCGTGTCTGGGTCCCCCAAGGGAGCTGAGCACCCTCTCTGCGGTGTGCTGTGTGCATGGTGCTGGGGAGGACACCGTCCACTCCAGAGTGGACACTCCTGTCCCTCCAGAGTGAGGAACAGCCTCTGCGAACCCCGCTCTCTGCCAGTGCCGCACCTGCAAGATAATCCTCAGGTCCTTGAAGCCAGGGGAGCTGAGCACCAAGCTCTTAAGCAGGATGTCCATGGCATCCAGGGTCTGCAAGGAGGAAAAAGGTTGTGTCAGTCTTTCTGCAGTCCCTCTCTCCCTGGGAATGGATCTAACTCCCCACGCCAGGGGAGGACACCCCTGCCACCTCTGGTTGGCCAAGGGAGGCCTTGGGGCAGACAAGCTGCGGCGGGCAGAGGAGCCAGTCCAGAGGCACTGGACATGGTGAGGCCCAGGGGAAGGAGATGAAGGGACGAGGGTGGGAAAGCAAAGCTGACACCCTGCCGTGCCTTGGATCTCTGGCTGTGTCTCAGCACGTGGCAGCCAGGGATCAGCTCTGAGTGCTCCTGACAGCACAACAGCACTTACCTTAAAGTAGAGGAAATTGTCTAGGCCCTGCATGTCTGTTTTAGGAGGAAGCAAGAAGACACTCCTGAAACAGGCCTCTAAAAGGCTTTTCTTCTTGCCCCCCAGTGCCATCTCCGCTTTGCTGAAAAGAGAGAGAGAGGGACCTGTGAGACGCGGGTGCTGGGAGCGCTGCCTCCATGCCTTGGCCAGGTGGACACAGACCTCTGGAGCAGAGGCCCCCAAGCGGGATGGAGCCCTGGTGTGTGGGCAGCATTGCCAGGAGGCACCTCCTCCCTCCTTGGCATGGCCCAGGCCGAAGGACAGTCCTGGCAGGAAAGTCTCCCGCCTCCCACTTTTGGAAGCAGCTGAGACGTGGAGGGGCCCTGCAGGATCCCTCTGCTTTCCCCTCCATCTCTCCGCAAGCCGCGAGCAGGGCAAAGAGCAGGCCCTCTGAGGGCACCACTGGACTCTGCCGGGATGGGAGATGCCCATGGGCAGGCCCAGGGCCACGGACTGTGCAGAGGTGTCAGCCAAACCAGGGGTTGGGCACATACCTCATATGGGCGAGGGCAAGCATGGCTTGCTGCCGCACGGCCGTGTGCAGGTGGTCCACGGGCTCCTCTTCCACCAGCGCCTGCAGAACACAACCGGGATGGGACCTGGTGGCCGCAGGCACCAGGCGGCAGGGCTGGTGGAGACCCTCTGTCCCCAGCCCAGCACCGGCCCCCAGCACGGCCCTGCTGCAGGGCTGCTCAGCGACACCCGCATCCCCTCAGGCAGCTCAGTGTCTGTCCGCGCACGCTGGACCCTGCCCTCCCCCTGCATGGGCCCCGTGTGTCCTCACAGTGTGCCGGCGCCTGGCAACTTGCCCCCTTCCCCAGAGCAGCCGGGGGTCCCCTCACCTCGATGTTCTTTGCCACCTGAAATCGGTGGTAGAACTCCTTCAGTTCCTGTGTGAAGCCCTCATCTCTGGCATCCTTGCTCAGGGTGGAGACGGTCTGCAGGAACCGAATCTTCTGAGCCTCCTCCTGGGCAGCCGGGGAGCAGAGACACAAACGGGCAGTGTGAGAAGGGGCCAGCAGGACTGGAGCACTGGGGCTGCAGTGCTGTGCAGGAGCCCGGGGGTGCAGCCGCGCCCAGCCAGCAGCCCCCAGCAGCCCTGGCAGCAGAGCCGGTGGCCCCGTCAGGAAACGCAGGCACTGCTACCCTGGAAATGGCTGTAATTACCTTCGCTGAGCTCTCCAGAAAAGTCTGGATGAACTGCATGGATGCAGCGTGTCCCTCCGCCATCCTCATCAGACAAGGCAAAGGTGTAGCGCGGGGAACGAAGAATGTTCCAAGAAGTGTCTCGGCACCGCAGGGCTGCTGGGGCAGCGGGGAACAACGTGGGCTGCGCTCAGGGGTCTGCGCCAGCCTTGCGCTCCTGCTCTGTCCCGTCACTGTCCTGCCGGACACTGGCATGAGCGGTATGACCCGTTGCCTTTTATACGGTGGCCTGGGGGGTCACCTAGGGCACGTCACAAAGGGCACCATGGTGGGTCAGAAAGGGAACGTCACTGAGGGCACCATGGTAGGTCATAAAGGGCACGTCACTAAGGGCACCATGGTGGGTCAGAGAGGGCGTGTCACTAAGGGCAGCATGGTGGGTCACGACGAGAACGTCGCTAAGGGCAACATGGTGGGTCACGAAGGGCACGTCACAAAGCGCTGGTCACAGAAGGCACCACGGTAGCCCACCACTCAGACCGTGAGGGACAGGGTATTCCTGTGAGGGGCACAAGGCCTGTTCTCCCCTGGTCACTTGAGTCCCCCCGGGGTGCCCTGAGCCCCACGTTTCGCTCATGTCGCATGGAATCTTGTTATGGCAAGATAACTGGCGTGTGTCATGATGTTCACAGCCAGACTAGTCAAGGGGTCTCAAAAAGACCGTGAGTAGAACTGCACGCGCACGATTCAGTTTAACGTGGGTTAAACTGAAAGCAAATTTTTTCACTTGCTTTTTCTGTTTTTCAGGTACAAAAAAGCAATGATTAGGCTGCATTTTTAGGAAGAAAATAACTACCAAAAGCTTCAACTAGATTTTGAAAATATTCTGTTTCTCTGGATGATAACCAGCAAGTTTTCTGCAGCAATGAGCTCTGCCATTTAGACTCGAGGAAAAATGTTGCTTGATACTAAGCTTTTCTGGAGTAGCGGGTGTCAATTCAATGTGATTTTTGAAAGCATAAGGAGTCTTTTCTGAAAGTGTTTTATGAGCCTGTCCTCCCAACATGGTATCCCCTCATCGCTGGTACCCTGACAATTTTTATCAGGAGGATGTTTCTTTTGGAAAAATCCAAATTTTTTAGAATAATGTTATGTTTCAGAGAGTATGTTCTGGCATCTGCTGAGCCCTGGGGAGGAACAGCTTAATACTGGTTGATAGGCGAGTTTTGATGGGATCCTGTGATTTCAGATTTCCTGAAGCAGTGACCCTAAGTGCCTCAAAAAGCAGCAAGCAGGGATTTCTGCTTGTACCTATCTCTTCTGGAAAGCCCCAGTTATAATCATCGCTGCTCTGCCACAAAGCTGCTTGATCTGTGGGAAATCACTAAGCCTGTGTGTGCCGCTAGGACCTGTCAGCCCATTGGAGATTATTCTTCCCTGCTTCACAGAGCTGCGTATTAAAGTCTAGGAGATATGTAGACGTCGAAACAGTATCCAAGGAAAACCAATTGAATGACTGGGTCAACTGCTGAGGTGGGGGTCAACTGCTGAGAGGGGAGTAGAACTGCTGATTTGGGGTCAATTGCTGAGGTGAGTAGCTGGATAGAGGACGCCTTCAACACCTGAGCGGGGGGAAGCTCAGCGTCCAGGAGCCTCAACTCAGAGCGGCACCAGCCACCGAGGGAGCCTCACGTCCTCGACAGGACTTGCCCAGGAGCCGGCAGCTCAGCTGACGCGAGCAGGGACTCACAGGGGGCGGTGCCCGGAGGAGCGGCACCAGCCCTGGCTGGGTAAAAACCTGCCCCGGGGATCGCGGCGACCAGGGCGGGTGGAGGCAGTTAGCGCGGGCAGGCCTGCGGGATGGGGAACGCTCGCCTCATGACCAGGGCCTGGTCTGGGAGCTGGGCTCTGGGTGCCCCGGCGATGGCCAGCGTAGGCACCCAGACAGAGCCGATGAGAGGGGAGGCTGCAGTGCAGAGGTCGGAGCATAGAGGGTGCCTGCGCTGGGCTTGTGAGGGGAGGGTGCACAATGGGCAGGGCTGCACTCGGTGCTCCCTGGTGCAGGTCCTCCTGCAGCAGGGGCTGAGGTGCGGGATGCTGTCAATAGACTGCGAGATGTCAGGGAAGCTGAGAGGAAGCAGGACTGCTTGCTGCAGGCCCAAACTGTGCAGGGGCCTCAAGCGTCCCCTATAGTTCACGGAGGAAAGAAGGAGGCCGTTAACCCAGGAAGCTGGGGAACAGCACCAACAAAAAAAAAAACAACAAAAAAAAGGAGGAAGACGACTATTAAAACCAAGGGGCTTCCTCGTAAATCTGTTGTCCCCACCCAGAACCGCTTTGCTGTCCTGCGGGGGGCTGATGAGGAAACACTTGCACCAGAAACAGCCGGCTGGGGCACTGCTAAAGAAGATCACTACTGGTGCTGCCGGGAAAAAGCAGCGGGTCATAGTTGTAGGGGACTCCGAAAGGCACAGAGGCACCCATCTGTCAGCCTGACCCATTCTCAAGGGAGGTGTGTTGCCTACCAGGGGCACGGATCAGAGATGTTGCAGAGAGGCTACCTGCTCTTGTAAGTCTCACTGACTATTACCCACTTCTAGTGATCTATGTGGGTGCTAGTGATACAGATAGCAGTAGCCTGGAGAACATAAAGAAGGACTACAGAGCCCTAGGAGAGGTGGTTAGGGGCTCTGGAGCGCAGACAGTCTTCTCATCAATTCTTCAGGATACAGGGGAGGACCCCAAAAAGGCTAGGAGGATTGGCCAGGTTAATAAATGGTTAGAAGGGTGGTACCATAGTCAGGGGTTTGGGTATCTTGGACACGGGACCCAAGTAAGTAGGCCAGGTCTAGTGGGGTCTGGTGGAGCTGGTCTGATAAAGGAGGGAAGAACAGTTTTGGTAGGAGGCTTGCCAGACTGGTCAAGGATGCATTAAACTAGATGTGTTGGGGGAGGGGGGCATCATTCCATCCCAACACACCCAGTCAGTTGCCAGCACCTATAATAAATGCTTGGAGCAATGTAGAGATACTCCAGCTGCTCCAGCCAATGAGCCGGCTTCATTTGGAGCTCTCTCAGATGCCTCTATACAAACGCCCGTAGCATGGGGAACAAACAAGAGGAATTAGAGATGTGTGCACGTCTATGGGGGTCGCAGAAACGTGGTGGGATGGCTCCTATAACTGGAGTGTTGGAATGGAAGGTTGGGCAGAGAAGAGATTCAGAGCAGCCCTGCAGAGAAGGATGTGGGGGCATTGATCAATGAGAAACTTAAGATGAGCAGGCAGTGTGCACTCGCAGCCCAGAAAGCCAACCGTATCCCGGGTTGCATCAAAAGGAGCGTGACCAGCAGGTCGAAGGAGGTGATCCTGCCCCTCTCCTCTGCTCTTGTGAGACCTCACCTGGAGTATTGTATGCAGTTCTGATGTCCTCAACATAAAAAGGAACATCTCCAGGGAAGGCACATTCCTCAGTGGATCAGGGACTCACGGCAGACAGTGGCATACAGTGGAGTTTTCTCGAGGCGGGGAAACCCAGGCGAGCACTGAGACCTGCTGGGAACCGGGTGGGACCACCCTAAGCTCCTGCAAAAGGCAGCGCTGGGAACACAGAGAACAGGGCATAGAAGGGTGTGCGGGGAGGACAGGCACCTCTTGGAAGGAGAGACATTCCAAGGCCGCCTGCACATTCCGAGCACACATGCCACATAACCCTGAAGGAAGAAAGGTGGGCACTTATCAGAGAGCAAATGCTGCAGCTCCAGCAGGGGTGACCTACACCATCTATGTTGGTGGTGGCCAATGCCTTCGCTCAGATGGAGTGGCTGAAGGGGGTGCCTGCAGTGGAGGGGGTTGTGAGGCACTGGAACAGGATGCTCAGAGAAACTGTGGAGGTGTGGCCCTGACTTTTGTGCACTCTGGCGGCAGTGCTCCCAAAGACCGTGGCCGGGCCGACGAGGGCGGCCGGGGCGCAAAGGCTGCCCGGCAGCTCCTGACTGGCCTTTCCGCGCCGCGTGTGAAGAACACCGTGGCCTTGGAATTGTGGTTAGAACTTTAATCCGAAAGACCCATTTTCTTAAGCAGGGCTTAACTGCTGCCTGGCTTTTCAGAGGCAGCAGCACAGCGCCTGCAGGATCCATCTCCGTCTTGGCCGCGCGTGTAAACAGGTGAGGATGTGTATTGTCTGAGATGCCAGGGAGGAGACTTGGGATTCCTCGTGGCTTCTCAGAGCATGGAGGGCTGCAAGAGAAGGAAAGAGAGCAGAGCTGAAACCCACCAATCTGCAGAGACCAGCAGGCATCCCTTCCAGACCATGCCAGCCCCAGCCATCCCTTTCCCTGGTCAGGAGGCGCAGGCGGGGCAAACGGATCACCTGGAAGCTGCTGCTCAGGAATGCAACAAATGCCCCCGAGATGTTCCCTGGAGCAGGACAGGGCATGGCAGCACGCTGCCCAGGCTCTGTCCCCTGCCCCACCAGCCCCAGCACACACAGCACTGTCCCTGCTTACCTTCGCAAACCTCCAGGAGCTTGTCCGCGCGGCTGTCCTTCAGGCACCGAGCGGCCATCCCTGTGCAGAGAGCTCCATCAGACCTGCTGCTGCCCAGCACGCTCCCGGCAGCACGGCCCCGCCTCTGCCGGTTTGGCTGCACCCCTTCCTCCCCTCAGCAGGGTGACCCCAGGGAAGGACAGGACGCAGGGGGAGGTGGCACTGAGCAAGGTGCCCCTGAGCCCCGCTGCGAGGGCAGGGGTTGGAGAGGGAAGCACAAGAGCCCCTGGCTGCACAGGCCTTGCACGGGGCAGTCGATGCTCTGGCAGCCACAGGGCTGCTCCTCGCTGCCAGTGCAGCAGATGGGACTGGGGCCAGGCTGCCAAAAGAGGGACTCCAGGGGCCGCGGCTTACCAATGAACCTCACAGCTGCCAGTCGCACGCTGACCTGAGCGTGCTGCAGGTAAAGCAGGCTCTGACGCACATATTCTTCTGCTCTGCTCTGCTCCTGCTCCAACTGGAAAGAGCACAAAGGCCCAGGGCTGACACAGACCTTCCCCAGTCGCCTGGGCCGTTCCCTCCTACCAGCACCCCACACCTCCCCTTGTTCCTCAGGCCATGTGTGTCTCCCAGCCAGGAGCCCTGTGGGGCTGAGGTTCAGAGACAGCTGCAGGCAGAGCAGGGTCTGGAGCTCCTGAGAGCCCCCTGTGCCACTGCCAGGGCCCAGATGTGCCTCCTGCAACATCCTGAGGGTGGGGAGGTGAGAGGAGCACCCCGTGTCCAGCCTGGGACTTGTCCTCACCAAGCGCTGCACAGTTTGCCATCTCTCCAGTGTCTGCACGTGGTGACTGAGCCATTCCCATTTGAGCACCTTCGCAGCTGCACAGATGGCTTCCTGAGAGGCCTGCAGAGGGGGACAAGGATTGGGGAGATTGTGGACAGGGCCTGAGACCCAAAGGCCTGGCCCTCAGCACTTGCAGGGACAGCTGGGAAGCCCCTGCGGACTCCGCTCTTCAGGCCTTGGTGGTCACGGACTGCTGCTGAGCCCTGCTGGACCACGTAGGGCAGGTGTGGGAAATGTCTGTGTCAGCTGCTCCTGCCCTCACTGATGCC